CCCTTGCCAATCAAGAATTACTACCAGAGCTGATCTCCAGACCCCTCAGAGGAGGTAACTCTGACCTCCACATGTACCCACTTGCCCACATTCTCACACAATGAAACAAGAGACCCCATCTCAAAAAAGATGGCTAGGCAGTTAAGAGCACTAGTTGCTCTTACAGAGGTTCGATACCCAGCACCCACAAGATGGCTACCAACCGTTCTTAACTCCAGTTTCAGGTGAATCCAATGCCCTCTTGTGACTCTGTAGGCATTGCATGACAGGGGTGCACTGACATATATGCAGGCAATACATCACATACATAAAATAAAAATAAAAATTTTTAAAGAAATACCATTTTTGAAAACATGATTATTATGCAGAAAGTTCTTTAACTTTAAAGAATAAATAACCCTGGGGTGTTAATGCTTTGTTTTGGGTTTTGTTGTCATTTTTAATCAAAGTCTTAACAGTAATGTGAGAATGAGCCTGTTTAAACTATTTTTTTGGAAGCTAGGTATATGTTGTCTAGGCTGATTTCCAAGTCATGAGTTCCAAGTGGTCCTCCCACTTCAGTATCCCAAGTAACTGGGACTACAGGTGTGCACCACCTTGAAACCAGGCTTGAACCTAGAAATTTTAACAAAAACACTGGAGTGTTGCAGAAGAAATGATCAAGGACATATGACCTTTTATTTTTAAAAATCAGAGTCACAGAATACTGGAGCAAAAGGTACTTGAATGATTGCTTTTTCTGTTGGTTTGCTTGTTTGAGACACAGTTTTATTATGTAGTCCTGGCTGGGCTGAACTTGATGTGTAGACCAGGCTGTCCCTGAACTTAGAGATTCTTCTGCTTCTGTCTCCCAAGTGCTGGAATTACAGGTGAGTGCCACCATGCCTGTCTATGAATGATTGCTTTTGTTTTGCAGAAAAGAGAAATTTCCAGGCCAGACAAATGAAAAGAAATGACCAAAGTTAGTAGTTTGTGGCAAAAATCAAGATTAACTAATAACCAGGTCTGCACACTAGTATAGTATGTTCTTTCAGTAAGCCGTACTTTAGGATTTTGTTATTTTGAATAAAACGAATTGACAATACAAAGCAAGGCAGCTAAAACATAAAATCAAAACCTAGTATCACATATGTATGCAGTATTATATATTTCTAAGAAAGGCTCTGTTGCCGGGCATGTTGGTGAACGCCTGTAGTCCCAGTACTGGAGAGGCAGAGGCAGGTGGATCTCTGTGAGTTCAAGGCCAGCCTGATCTACATAGCAAGTTCCAGTCCAGCTAGGGCTACAGGGAGACCCTGTCTCAAAATGACAAAATTATGAGACAAAAAAAGAAAAGGAAAAGAGAAAAAAAGAAAGGCTGTGAAGTTTAATGAACACAAAGTACAGAGTATGAACTGAAAAAAAATCTCACCTTGGACACAAGGGCTAGCCTAGCCTAGATATCTAAACGTGTCTGTCATTAATCTGAGTGTTAGGACAATGCTGGTTAACACACTTAAGGACCCAAGTTTGGGACCCAGCACCCACATGAGAGGGGGTTTCTCACAACTGCCTATAACTCCAGTTCCAGAGGGATACTATTTCTCCAGTCTCCACAGGCTCCTGTACTTCCATGCACATACATATATACACACATACATATATCACTTAAAATTAAATAAAACTTTAAAAAAAATATATGGGAATCTTGGTTCCCCACTTTTGAGCTATGCAACTTCAACATCTTAACCACTTGGGCCTCATTTTCCTCAACTGTAAGACAAAATTGTGAGAAACAGAATTGAGATAACCATGTGTGGTAGAGGCTGAGGCAAGAGGAATGCTCCAAGTTTTAGGCTTGCCTGGGCTGCAGTGTGAGATCTTGTCTCAAAAACAAAGTGACAGAGCAAGGAACAACAACTCTAGAGTTCCTGTAATTCTTTATCCAAAAGTCATGTGCTTAGGCTTCTCTAAAGATACTACATATGTGGCTTATGAACAGGTAATCTTGGTTTTAACTTTAAAGCTCTTCTTTGAGAGCAGGATAGGAGACATACGGTTTGGAACAAGGTCTCATTCTGTAGCTTGGCAGGGCCTGAAACTCCCTCTGTAACCCAGACTGGCCTGAAACTTGTAGCAATCCCTTCAGTCTTCCAAGTGCTAGGATTAGTTGTGAGCCACTAGGCCAGGTTTCACTTTAAAACTTCTACATCTCTGGCCCTAAGTGTGAGATTTAAAGCATGTGGCCTCTGATCACAACATCCAAAAGTATATTAAAGAAAACATTCCCATATTGGGCATTGTGGCACATGCCTAGAATCCCAGTACTCAGGAAACAGAAGCAGGAGGATCATGCAAAGCTCAGACCAGCCTGTTCCACATAGCCTGGGCCATATACTGAGATTCTGTCTCATAAAAACAAGGGCTAGGGAATATAGATAGCCCTTGCAAGGCCTATCCCCAACATCAGGAAAACAAAAACACACAAAAGAACACATTAAAACATTCCTTATAAAAAGATTATAATGAATGTACTATGCAAAGATCTAAGTCGCTTATCTTATTGGGAAGGGGGTAGATTTCACTTGTATTAGTCATGACTGCAATTTGAAATTAGCTATCATTTTCTGAACTAAGAAAAACTCTCATTATGAGCAGAACACAGTGGCACACATGGTTAATCTCAGCACTTGGGAGGCAGAGGCAGGTGAATCTCTGTGAGTTCCAAGCCAGCTAGGGCTACATAGTGAGACTCTGTCTCCAAAAAATAAATTTCATTTTAGAAATAAAAAAAAAGCCAGCTCCTTATAAAGCATTCTCTTATTTATTTATTTTTTTTATCTTTTTGAGACAGGGTCTCCCTGTAGCCCCAGCTGTCCTGGAACTCACTATGTAGACCAGGCTGGCCTTGAACTCACAGAGATCCACCTGCCTCTGCCTCCCGAGTGCTGGGATGAAAGGCGTGAGCCACCACACCAGGCCAAACAAAGCCCTATTTTTAAGTAAAATTAGATCATTTTATATTTTCTTCCTATGACTAAGTTATGAATGAAACCAAATTCTAATAGTGCCTTGATTTTCTCCACTCTTCATTTTCAACTTAATATTATAGTTCTGGATTTAACCCCCTCCAACTGTCCTACCTTAATCTTTTTCAAATATTTCAAACATTTTTTTCTCAAACTCATAAAAAATACAGAGTAAAATGAAGATTTATACCTGGGTAATATTTCTTTCATCCCCTGAGCCCATAAACTTTTGTCTCACTTTCATCTTTTAAAAGTAGATGAAGAAAAACACCAAGTATTAGAAATACAATGTGCATGTGTGAGTGAGAGAGAGCGACCAAGTGAGCTGTACACTAGGCCTCGAGTGACCAGGTCAGCCTGATTCTCTGCCAGAAAAGGCCAGGTAACATTTATTCCACTGTGGAAGTTTCTTCTCCTCCCAGCCCATCAATGAATCCTTCTGCACGTTATTATACTATTGCATTTCATCAGTAGTTACAAACTGTTTCCCAAAGGAAACTCCTTTCCCACTCGCCGAACTCTTTAAAACAGCCTTCTGACAGCCTACTGCTCAATCCCAAGACCACAAGCCTCTCTCGCCAGAGGAAAAACTTGAGACAAATCAATAAGAATGAATTTTCTGAAGGTTCTCAGACCTTCGTTCCAAATCTCAAAACACGCAGACATCTAAGGGTTCCCAGAAACAATGAGCCACAAAAGTACATACTAAACGGGAAAGAAGAGGAAGTATCAGAACAATACCCAAACCAAACACAGCACCAAAAACCCATACTCGCCTCCAACATCCTAGTTTGCTACCCCCACTTCTCTAGTTTAAACCAAGGGCTCAAAAACTCTGACAAATGGCCCCTGGCCCATCGATTCCCGCTCTGCAGGTGAAAACGCTTCATCAGGGTAGCACGTTCTGGTCCGCAGGGCCAGGATGCTTTCCTGCCGGGTGGAAGGAGGCTGGCCAAGGGCTGGGTAAAGATTGGGAAGCTGAGTGCTGGGGGCAGGGGGAATTTAGGGTGCCAGGGCTAATCCCCGGCCAGGGCCCGCGGGTGGAACGGGCAGCGGGAGAGCGGCCAGAAGGGCTGCGCGAGGCTCTGGGGTGGCGAGCAAGCTGCCCCGCCGCGGGTGGGTGGCGAGGCCCCACCGGAGAGGCAGCTCGAAGCTGAGCGACTGTTTGCGGGTGGGAGCATTGGCCCTCTTCGCCGCCTGGCCCCCTAGAGCTCACACCTCAAACCTGCTCTTGGTCACTCCGTTCACGTCCCTCCTCATGGGGCCGGCGGGTGCGGCCCGGGCCGGGCGTTGCGGCGTGCGGAGTGCAAAGACAGGCGGCCCCGGGCAGGCCCGGGAGTTCCGGGACCGGGAGGTAGCGGCGGCGCAGCAAGGATGGGACTGCCGGGCGAGGGGGAGAGACCTCTGGACTCCCTCGGGGCCTCCTGCACTTCCCGCGGCGCCCGCGGCCACGACGACTGCTGGTCGCTAGCTCGGTTCTCTCCAAAGCCTCAACTTCAACCCAAAACAAAAACACTCTCCACCTGCCAGCAACGCCGCTCCTCATTGGGCAGAGCCGCCCGGGCCTCCGAACGCCGGGGGAGGGGAGGAGCGGCGGCGGCAACGCGAGCCCACCCCTCCCCCACGGGGCGCAGTCCGGGACAGCGAACCCGCTTGCAGCAGGAGCACGGGGCGACGGGGCATGAAACCCCCGAGACGAGGCGGGGCAGGGAAGTGCCCAAGTGTCTGTGTGTGTGTATGTGTAGACGGCCGCGGGGCGGGGGCGAGTGCGCGCGTGTTCGCGGACCGGCGAAGGAGAGGAACACCGCCCCGGAGTGCCCGTCGACCCTGCCTCCTCCCCGCCCCTCCGAGGACTCCCCGTCACGCAGCGAGCCTCGCAGAACCTGAGCTTTCTGCCTAGTGCCCCCAAGCCCCAGACTTGTCACTTTCCCGGGAGCCTGAGCTAGCACTCACATCTTCCCAGACACCCAGATCCCTTTCCCTCTCACTCACAGTCGCCTTGAACCCAAAGTGCAGCAGGCGGTCCCTGCTCGGAGCCATTTTCCTCCTCTTTCTAGACAGTCTCTAGGTTGGGGCAGTGCTGTTGCTGTCGCCGCCGTCGTAGGTGCTGTCGCCGCCTCTCCCGTCACGGTGAATTGCATTACAGGGTGCTGCAGGGAGGCCTGGGGGGCCGCTGCGGGGCGGATGTCTCGCAGTGCATGGCTCGAGGAGGCAGGGGCTGACTGCGCTAGGAGGCAGGCCGAGCGCCCAGCTCTGCTCCGGGGATCGCAGCCAGGCCACCCCCTCGAGCTTTAGGGTCAGGGGGTGCTGTGCGGGAGCCAAGCGACCATTCTTTCGGTTGGGGGAGGGGCGCGCGTCGGTGGGGTGGGGGCGGACGAGGCGGTAGGGCCTTTGGCTTCCCCGCCCCTCCGGCACCGGTAGCGCCCAATGGGCTGTAGCGGCTGCCCACCCTCCAATCAGAGGGCTGGTTGGTGAGAGCCTGCGCCTGACGCCACTTCGGCGGGAGAAACAAGCGTGTAAGAGCAAGTAGGCGGGGGCGTATGCCCATACGAAACTATGACTTTCATTGGATTAAGGCTCCTAGTATAAAAACTGGTCTGTGTTATTACATTATTTATGTTACCTCCGGCCTTCAAGATTCTTATATTTATGACGGATTTTCCATGAATTATGGAACAATTAAGAGTGACGTTACCCCTTCAAAGAGAAAATTACAGAATGTGCCAAACATGAAGGCATTATTAACTATACTGTCATCCTGGCTGAAGCAGAGCACTACTTCAAACTGTATACTCACGAAGCAGTATGTATAGTTTGTCCTCCCACCCTTTTTAAAATTAGTAGTTTTAAGCCGGGTGTGGTGGCGCACGCCTGTGGTCCCAGCATTTGGGAGGCAGAGGCAGGCGGAACCCAATGCCAGTCATGTCTACATTGAGTTCCAGGCCAACTGGGGCTAGAGGGAAATCCTGTTTCAAAAAAACACCCACGCCCCAAAAAGTAGTTTTAGTGACTTATGAATCCGATTAAGAAATTAACATTTAAAAGCAGTATTACAGGCTACAGACTTTTTAGGTCGCTTATTACCCTTAAAGCACTTTCAGTAACCTTTTTTGTATTTCTATGGCGAGCTTCCAAAGCAAATAACTAGCTGAATCCTATGTTTACACGTTACATTCTCTTTGAGCCCCAGAATTTTTTATTTTGGTCTTTTTGAGACAGGGTCTCCCTGTAGCCCGAACTGACCTGGAACTCGGTATGTAGACCATGCTGGCCTCCTGAACGCAAGAGATCCACCTGCTTCCGCCTCCGAAGTGCTGGAATCAAAAGTGTGCCCCATCATGCCTGGCTAATGTTTTTAACTTCACTTCAGCCAGCAAATAACACAGTAGTTAAGTTTGGTGACATCTAAAAGCTTTTTTCTCCCAGAAAAAACTATTGATGAATTTGGTGGTTGCTGCAAAGTCAGGAAAGCTGGCACTCAGGGACAAATCAAATATGAGGAAAAAAAAAAAAAAAAACCAACAAAAAACATGTCTCATAGGTCTACCAATTATCCATTCCTTTGGACCATTTACAGTAGTACTCACAGAAGCCATTGGGTTGAATTTCTTAAAGGCTTAACAAATGAAAATTATTCAAATTTTTATGAAGCCATACAAGACTCATACTTTAATCTCAGCAATCAGGCTGAAGTAAGATTGCCTTGAGTTCAAGACCATACTGGACTACATAGTAAGTTCCAGGCCAGCCTGGGCTAGCTAAGAGTGGGATGATGTCTCAGACAAACCATAAAACAAAACAACCAAAACCTATAACCCCAGCACTTGGGAGGTAGAAGCAGGAGAATCAAGAGTTCAAAGGCAGCCTCAGTTATACAAGTTCAGGGCCAGTCTGGGCTACATGAGAACTTGTCTCAAAAACACAAAACAAACTACACAGAGACATATTACTTTTTATCAAATTTATTTGCATGTAAATAAACAGTTTTTTTTTTTATGTTTTGTGGGGAAAAACCCCACAGATCTTGCTACTTAAAAAAACAGAACACATGAAAAACCCCAAAGTATTTACAGAACGGCCATAGACACAGAAAATCAGATTTTCTTTTAGAGGACTCCCTACTGCTCCTGATGTACATTTTTAAACTCAGAACTTAAAGCTCAGCTCATACAGTTGAACATTATTTCCCAACCTAGTTTCTGAGATATAAAATACCTCCTGTCCCTCCAAAATTTAACTCAAATACAGAAATAAATGGGGGGGGGCAGGGATAGAAATGAAAATAAAATAGAAAATGAAATTGCCCAGGGATTGTGAATGTTTTCTATACTGATATCTGCTGTGATTCAACTGTGGCTATGATGTGACTCACTGGCTCTTGTGAAAATTCATGACACTGCTGTTCTACATTTTCAGACCTTGGCCTGAGAAAGGGAAATACGTTTCAAGAGTTACCAACCTCAAGCTGGTTTGGGCAATTTTATCTTGCTTCGAGTCCCCTTTCCCCACCTTGGAAACACTTTTAAGATAAAGTGAATTTAAATCTGAAATTTTCATGTACATCAGAGCAGATTTTTGTCTAAGAACCCCTAATATGAAGCCAAAAGACAAAATAATTAGGTCAAACTAAAAATACATAAAACTCCAGCAGCAGAAGATATGTAGAAGTTGATTTCATGTCCTTGCCGTCTTTCCAACAGGAGAATGAGTACACCTCGACGGGAGGTGTCCCAGGCTTGGTTTATTCTGCCTCTTCTCCTCCACCCTGTGGAGAAATGCAGTGCTCCCTGGTTCCCAGGCAGGGTGAAGCAGTTTAGCCCCGGCTCCCTGTTAAGCAAGTTCAGATGCTGGGTCATTGTGTGGGGTGTGCCCATCGACAATTCAGGGGCTTATCCTTCATCCAGATCCTAACTCGGGATTCTTTGATCTGGGATGAAGACAGAAAGAGAGAAAAAGCTTCCCAGTTTACTCATTTTGGTATTTGTTGGCTCTGCTTGGGGGAGCTGAGCCCCTGATACTATGCAGTACATTTCCCCACAAGACTATCCCCACCCAGAACAAATACCATGTAACTTTAATTTTCCTATAGAAACTAACAGGATAGGATTCAGAACTAGGTGACAAACTTCTGAGAAATCCAACCTGGTTGTATATCTGATACTGCTACTGTATCAGTACCACAAGATAAAGCACTCCAGTATCACCTTGCCCATGTCCTCTTTAGTGTCACCCAGGACATTTGACCCTGATAGGGTAACAAATAACTTTTCTTGCTCCACTTTGCAATGTTTTGTTTCCTATTTCTTATTGCCTTGGGACACAGAAATGGCAGAGTTGTTGGAACTGATGACCAGAAAAGGGATAACACTAAAGGAAATGAGAGACAGTCAGGAAAGAAAGCCAAAGTGGATTTTCCAACTCTATGCTAATTCCAACCTGCAGAGAGATGAATATAGAAATCTTCCGTATCTGATGAACTTGCTCCACTCATGACACACACAAACATGAATCACCTGGCTTTTTTCTCTTTTTTTGTAATCCAGAAGAGTTGTGCTGGGGATTATGCCCCATCCCGCTGATACAGATCCTGAATGGAATCATCAGGAATGGCACAGTGCAGGTGTCAAAAATCAAAGTAAGGCCGCAGAATTTTGAGAGGACCCTCCAAATACTGAAAACTTCTGTTGCACTCAAAATGGTCTCCTGGATTTCTGTATTTGTAAGAAGGGCTTCTTACTGATGTCCTTCAGAATCCAGACTCAGACCTGTTTCTCCAAAAAGGTCCAATTGTGTGCTACATAGTAGCAAGGGTTTATCTTCATGCTCACCTAGCATTCCAGGCCCCTATTACTTCAAGTGAGCTTGAAATTGTTTAAAGTGAACTATGGCTGCAATTTTTTTTTTATACTGTTTATCTAGGGGAGCATACACTGGAATAATTAAAGTCTGAACTCCTTCTTGAGATGAAGAGAAACAAAGAGCCCAGCTCTTAGGAATGGCATCACTTCTGCAAACAAAATGCTGGGATGTAGACTTTTGGCACATTGTGGAAATAGAAGAACTATTCTGTAATGGTTTTCATGACATTGGGTCAGGAAGGCTGCCCCACATTACACCTTGTTGAATCTGAAAAGGGGTTAACACCACCAAAAGTCACTCTTTTTTAAAGGAAAAAGATATCCAATACCTCCACAAGGAGATCACTCCTAATATTCCTATGATGTCTGAACCCTATGAAAAACCTAAAATAGTAATTCTGAGTTTGTATTTAACTCCAGAGACAGGCTCTGATTAGCCTGCTTGGGCTCCATGCTACAGCATCAGCACAAGCTGCAAGCTCCCTACCACCAAATAAACCTGCTCTTCCACCTCCTATCATTTTGAACCATAACCTTCATAGATTTAGAAACAAACATCGCTTAAAAACAAACATAAAGGATTAAAATATTACAAATAAATAGCTAAAATCTTTTTCCCTCCCCCAATCATTCCTAAGAAAGACACCAAACACTGCTTAAGTGTCCAAAACTGCCAGTCCTTCACTTGCCCATGCTTCAAATGGACAACTACCCAAACAAAGGTGAACAACCTTCATGCAAATGCATCAAGGAATGTATTGCTTTTTCATTTTCTGCCCAGCCCTTCAAATACATGCACTAAATGAGTTTAAAGCATGTCCTAAAAATGGAAAAAGGGAAAAAAATATATGAATATTTCCCACAAAAGTTCTCCCACCCTTCCCTCCACTTAAACCCTTTCCCACCCCCTCCCATCTTTTAAGCAAGTATTTTTAACATTTCTTTGAGGCAAAGAAATGTGGAGACTTGGTAAACAACCAAACCTGTGGTCCCTTTGGTAGGGTCTGGATATACTTTTATAAATTTACCTAGCTTGGGGTAAAGGCCACACCCACTAGAATTCGTAACACAAATCAGACCTTTCTGACTCACCCCTTTTGTTGGTTTACACATAAACTTATCATTAGTTTCTTCTCTGGACATATCTGTTTACAAAATATGGCCCTTAATTGCCAATCAAGGCCACATCCATAAGATCATCATCCTCCTCCCCAATCATAAAGTCAGGGCTAAGCCTTGAAGGCCTATCTGCAGATAAGATTGGGTTATTTGTCATAGACAAAGTCTGGTCTGAAGAGATGGGTGATTTAGACCAATTCTCTGGCTTGATGCTATGAGACTTTTTCTTATCTCGGTCTTTGTCTCGGTCCCGGTCTCTGTCTTTTACTTTCTTCTTTTCCTTTTTGTGTTTCTTATGTTTTTCTGTATTGTATTCTGGAAGTGGTCGGATGCCGTCATCTGAGCTGGGACTGTTCTGATAAGATTTCTCTGCTAT